GGGTTTAGGGCTTCGGGCTCAGGGCTCAGCGCGTCGGCGATCCACTACTGTGCTGGCCGGTCTATAGAAGGCTTTTATCTTTCTCTCTTCCACCGCACACGCCGTATATTGCCGCCAACCAACCAAAGCTATTACTTTTATGGTTTAGGCCTCAATTCGATTTCTTCCTCAGGCAGGACCGGACAGGGCAGGGCAGGCTGCGACCTCGAGCTTGAGTCTAGGCTAACCACAGTAAGTGGCCGGGCTATGCCTTGAGTTCAGGGTTTAGGGNNTTAGGGCTTGACGGTTTAGGGTTTAGAGTTTTTTTTTTAAGCACCTTTTTCCTCCTAGCAGTTAAGGTCGGAAGAGTTCAGGGCTTAAGGCTTTCAGAAATTTTCAGTAGTTCTAAACGTTAGGGCCTTTGAAGTTTAGGGACCCCGCGTCTCCCAAGTTTCAGGGGAAAGGCGGACCTATGTAGCAAGCGAGTCCTAGGGCTTTAGGGCTTTAGGGCTTAGGGCTTAGGGCTTAGGGGTTTAGGGGTTTAGGGCTTTAGGGTTTAGGGTTTTAGGGTTTAGGGTTTAGGGGTTTAAGAAGGCCGAACCCAACCAAAGCCCCTCTTTGCTTCCGCCTTCGGGATATTTGAGAGGCCGCCCGTGCTTTGGGGCGCCTCCGCCTGCGGCTCAAGACATGGAAAGGGTCGGGTTTTTAGGGCTTGGGCTTCAGGGTTTAGGGTTTTAAGGTTGCGGCTTCATGGTTCATGGTCCAAAGTTTAAGCTTCAGGGTGTCAAGCTTCGAGGTTTGGGCTACAGGCAGAGGCGAGGGCTTCTGCTGTCTGGAGGTCAGAGCGACAGAGGGAAGGAGGGTCTCGGAGATTTCAGGGCTCGGGGTTTTGGTGGAATGCGGCGACGAGTTGGAGATTTGTCAGACAGGAATTTTGGGTCCAGGTTTGGGGTGCCAAAGTTCAAATTCGCAAAACTTTGTGCGTCGGCGAAGCCACTGCTACTGCTACTGCTACTACTGCAACGTCTACTTCTACACCTTCTCGTTCTAGTTCTTCCTCTCCTCTCGGTGCTATTGCTTCTGAAACTACGCCTTCTTCTGCTGCTGATGGTACTGCTACCACAACGTCTACCTCCGCCACTGCCGTTTCTGCTGCTGACACCGACAACAAAGGCGACTGCTGCAACGAATGATCTTCCTCCGCCGCCGCCTGCACTTCAACTACTGCTACACCTACACGTCAGACAGCCAAGCCGGCGGGGCAACGACGATTGCGGCTGCGAAGCGGCTGTGATCTTGAGAGAAGTACTTCACTCGACAGGCTCTGAAGCATAAATCGAGCCCTTCATGCTACCCTCCTGACATCCCACAAGCCCTCGTCCACTTGGTCGATCGCTTGTAAACGCCTGCTGCAGATGTATCCATAACTCTTGGGTATATGGAGCGATACAAGATGCTCATATCCGCCGGGCCTGTTTCCGAGGCTTTGTCGCTTTCTTTTTTCCTGCAATGGGTCGCTGTAGGGGTGGCCGGGGCCTGTGAGGGCTTTTGGAAATCCAACATTCTCGAAAGAAGACTTACCGACGGAATTCAACTTGTACTGAAAAAATACTAAAGTGTTAAACACGCCATAATAAGCCGCTATGTTTCTTCCTCGGAATTCGCAAGTTCGGGAATTCGAGGGTTCGGGTTTGGGTCTTGAGAGTGCCGCAGTCCAGGGTTTCAGGTCTATTCGGTCCGGTTTTCGGTTTGGTGTCTTGGGTTCGGATGTTCGAGCCCACTGAGCGCTTCTGCGTTTGGATTTCAGGGGGTGGGTTCGTCGTGGCCTTGAGCTTATCAACTCAAGGGGTTTAGGGCTTTGGGTTTAGGGTTGATTCAAGGGATTCAGGTGTTCAACTCGTTTCAAAACCAAAGCCACCGTTGGAACCCGACACCCAATGTGCAAGAGACACCAAATTCTGCACTTTGCCAGTGCCCCCTTCTACCCTCTCCGTATCTACTGAGATCACGGTGCTCAAGCACGGAATCCTGAAAAAGCGAAGCTGTCCGGAGGTTGGTGTTAATTTTTAAGGTTACTGTAAGAGGTTCATGCTTTATGGCGCACATGTTCATGGTTCGGGGTTTGGGCTTGAGGATATGTGATCCCTTCGCCTTGTGTTCCCTGCCAGCCGTCATCCAGTAAAGCCAACATCTTGTCCAGTTTTCCGTCACTGCCCTGGTGCCCCCGGCAAAGCTCCTGAGACAGCCAAACAGATGCGAGCACTGTCACTTTGTTAGAAATATGAACTAGTATAGTAGAATGTACCCGCAAACAGCATTTTGGTTCTCCGGGGCCCGTATGTTAGTGGGTAGTTCTCTAAATTAGGGTTCCTTTTGGGCTCCTTTTTTGTAAGGGTGCCGTACTACATTGGGGACCTAAAAAGGGACCCCAATCTAGAGAACTACCCTAGTGTCGTTGTGCTCTCTACCTTCAACATCGGAGTTAAGGGGGACCCTTGGGGATATAGACCCTCTCAATGAGGTCCCTTTTAAGAGAGCCACAAGTAGGATTCAGAAGGGTCCCCTTTAAGGGGTCTCCCTAATACTACCTAGGACAACATGACCAGCTGGCCTTGAGGTAGACCTCCAGCTTCTCGAACCTCTCCTTTCAAGCTTCCGGCGGCTAGGGGTTTAGGATAGGGTTTAGGGTTCAGGGTTTAGGGTTCAGGGTTTAGGGTTTAGGGTTTAGGGTTTTGGGTTTTAGGGGGTTCAAGCTCGGGTTGAGGGCTTCCGGACCTCGGTTCTGAGGCTTCGGGGTAGAGCTTGGGACGACCCTCAGACCGGCAGGAACACTTCTGGCTTTAGCGTTTGGGGGTTATAGGGTTTAGGGTTATAGGGTTATAGGGTTTAGGGCTATAGGATTTAGGGTTTAGGGTTATAGGGTTTTGGGGTGTTCCTTTCCAAGCTGAGCCTTGGTCGAGCTGAACCAGTTATTCGACACCCCCAACTAGCTCCTGCCATGGCTTCTCTGAACCATGTCATCATAAAACACTCTCACTAATCAGGTTTTCCACCCAATTAATTACACTCCTCCCCCAAAACCCCTGAATATCTCTGAATCCTAAAATCTAGGGCCCTGAACCTGATACCCTAGACCCCGTCCTTCTGGTCGGTCTTTCCGTCCTCCTTTCGAATGAGCGCCAAGATGTGGCACTCCGAGGCGAACTGGGTGTTAAAGATGCCGAAGACCGTCAGGTTGATCGCGTAGCGCACACCTGCCCAGAGAGCCCAGAGAGCCCAATACCCCTTAAATTAAGGAGTATTACCGTACATCATAATATTCAGGCCCCTAGAATTTAGGGTATAATTCCTTAAATATAAACCCTAAACCCTCAAATACCGAGGCCCCTATAATTTAGGGTATCTTCTCCTCCTTCTTTAAGGGGTTCGAACGCAGGTTCAATCTCGGGTTCAACCTGGATTCGAACCCAGGTTCAACTTGGGTTCAAATCTGAGTTCTGGGGTTGGATTCAACCCTAAACCCTTAACCCTAACCCCTAAACCCTTAATCCTAAACCCTAAAATTTAGGGTATCTTCTCCTTCTTTAAGGGGGTATTGGGCTCTCTGGGTGTCTTTTTAGGGCCCCGGAAGGCGAGATTAGATAGTAGAAGTGGGTGCAAGGGGGAGCTTTCCAAGAGGAGTTGAATGCTTAGGGTTTAGGGTTTAGGGTTTAGGGTTTAGGGTTTAGGGTTTCGGGGAAAAACAACCTGTGTCAGGAATATTTTTTGCGATTTTGGATGGCATGTGCAAGGACTCGTGCTTGTCTCGCTGGACATGCCACTGTTCTGCAGATTACGGAGGAACTGAGAAATGACCAGAACAACGCTGACAAGAGAATGACACTGACAATGATAACTATTACGTAATCATCCTCCTGACAGGGTCATTTGCCACATCTTCACCGAAATCCTCATCCCCATCATCAGCATCATCATCGTTATCATCAGCAGCTCATCACCAGCGTCATGCTCGCCGTCATAGCAACCAAGAACAGACAGCAGCCGTCAATAAGAAAGTAAGCAAGTCAGCCAGTGAGTGGGTGGGTCGGCAAGCATGTATGCAAGAGAGTAACAAGCAAGCAAGCAAGCAAGCAAGCAAGCAAGCACGCAAGCAAGCACGTACCGTAGGCAAGCAAGCGCGTAAGCAAGTAAGTAAGTACGGTAGGTACCTGTAAGTCCAAACAAAAGTAGGATATGATAAGTTAGGAAGTAGAGTAAGGCATCGGGGTCAGCCACCCTGGACGTTGCGCCTTGCCATCGGAACACGAGGCAAAGCAGCCCAAAGGTCAGCCAAACAAGGAGCGACAGAACCAAGAGCAGCGGGGACAAGATGAGGATGACGAAGGCCAGGTGTGGATGTTGCAATACAGGCCCGTAGACTGCACCTGCAAGAAAATGACGAAAGATGTCGCGTGTCATAACCTGTTGAAGAGGATATAGTGCCACGATGCCAACATTGGCGGGGTAGCGGTACTGCTCCGGCAACCCACCGAAGTCTTCTTCCAACCTTCCCGTCTTAATCCTGGCAGCGCTGTAGGTGGCAGGATTCTTGAAGCCTCGTCGCAGCCAAGCGAAAGCCATACTCCAGGGCCTGCGCTGCTGCTCCAGCAACATGCAGGCCCTGGCTTGCACAAAGAGGATCTGCGCCCGGCCCTGGTGTGTATCGTAGTTCGTGCTCAGGATACCGATTAAGAGGTTCATGAGAAGCACCGTGATGCCCATGCCGGTGATGAAGAAGAAGAGCTGCAGGTAGCTATAGCTCCAAAACCAATCTGCCCCCAGGTCCCTGGGGCTTGGATCCTTGGGCTCCCACTCATTGGTCTCCGTGTTCAGCGCGTAGTTCGTGTCCTGGCCCCCATAAACCCTAAACCCTAAACTCTAAACCCTAAACCCTAAACCCTATACCGTTCGTGTCCTGGCCCTGGTACTCGAAGAGGTCGAAGTCTCCAAAGATGGCGAGGCGGACCGTGTGTGTAAGGGCAGAGTAGATCCTGGGTTCTTGTTAAGGGATTTGGGGTTTAGGGTTTAGGGGTTAGGGTTTAGGGTTTAGGGATTTAATTTAAGTTACCATCATAGGGATCTATAGTAAATAATATGGTTTCCTTATGATGGTAACTTAAATAAAAATCCCCTAACAAGAACCCAGGATCGGAAGGGGGTCTTCTCCTCTTGGGCCTAAGATGACGTAGGCGTGGGTGGCGCCTCCAACGCAAAGGAAGGTGACGAAGAAGAAGGCCCAGGTATCTCGCACAGCGGATAGAATCGGAAGTAGATATATTCCCAGCCATCGCTCCCCACGTAAGCTGTACACAAACCGTAGCCAATACATCGAGCAGAACCATGGCATCCAGACCTTGTCCATCTTGTTCTCGCTGCAGAGATGCATCTGACTTGCAATGGCGAGCCAACCCACGACCAGGAAGAGCCTTCGTTCTTGCTAAGGGGAATTTGATTTCAAGTTTCCATAATAGGGATCTATAGTAAATGATATGGTTTTGATTTAAGTTACCATAATACGGAAGCCCTATTATTTACTATAGGTCCCTATTATGGTAACTTAAACTAAATCCCCTAATAAGAACCCAGGAGCAGATCAGCAAAGGTCTCTAGAACTTCTGCACCCTGGGCGGAGATGCTGTCTTCCCAATCTTCGCTCTCGACTGTTGTCATTAGGAAGTTGTGACTGACCAGGTTTGCGAAGAATCCACCAAACACATAGAAGAAGTGCACTATCCATTCAGTGGCCTCCTTCACCTGGATGAGGATCAGAAAGAAGAATGGCAGCCTCGGAGAAAGGGGTCTCGCCTTCAACTGCTTCAAGGATCAACACACCCAGAGAGATCCGCCCAAAAACCGAAAATTTCCCCCCGTTTCTGGGTGAGAACTGGAGGACCATGTGGTCCTGAAAGCCTAGTTTAGGGTCTAGGGTGTCCAGGACCACCAAGTCACTTCCCAGAAGCCTCCACCAGAAACCCCACAAGACAGCACTTCTAAACCCAAAATCATCTCAAAACATCCTAAAACCCCAAATACCCTAAAACCCTAAACCCTAAAACCCCAAATACCCTAAAACCCTAAACCCCAAAACCCCCTAGAACCGCCAAGGCCACGGCTGGGCCCTCCCGTCACCACCAGTGCGGCAGGAGATGGTGACACTACACCTGGTTCATGGTTGGGATAGGGTTTAGACGGTTTAGGGTTTAGGGTTGGGGGTAATACAAAAACACTAGGTCTAAGTAAGCTTCTGATTCTTATTTACTAAGTTTAAGTACCCATAAGAATGTAAAATGTTCCCGAACTATGACAGAGACACAAGCAAGCAACCGCCATGGCATCCAGACAGACGTCTATGGCCTGATGCCACAGGTTCATGTTGAGTGCGGTTTAGGGTGATTACAAGTCGAAGACGGCCGAAGAAATGAATAGAACAAATACCAGAAAGCAGCAAAGAGAAAAATATCCCAAAAAGCCTCGAAGAAGGAAGAATTGCTTCAGAACCAAGCAGCGGTGACTGCCCGCAACTGCAGCCATGCCGCGGCAGTGATGGCCTCCACAGTATCCGAAGCCAAGGTTTCGTCGTTGGCAGTCTCTGCCAAAGCTCTCAGCACTCCTGGGCCAACCAGGAAAACGGAAAGAAAAAATGCTCGGAATCGTCTTCCCTCTACTTCCAAACAAAAGACCTACATGTATCAAAAAAACGCTCAAGCATTGAGCTTAGGCCAGCAAGGTTCCGGGGCGGCATGCCAAGGGGGCCTGGATTGGAAGAGTTCGCAACGACACTTGCACCTTCGGTGCGTACTGCAAGTTCTGCAGCTCCAAGTCCCAATCATTGGTGGCTTTGGGCTGAACGTCCTGGCAGGGTGCAGCTGTTTTTACATGCAAGGCTTGTGGGTGCGGGCAAGAAAATATGTAGGCGAAATATGCAAGCGCACAAACCACATCGAGCGGGCATCTCTCACTTTTGGCAAGAAGCGGCTGGAAGCCATCTCAGGCACTGTCATCACAGCTACAACCAGCCGCAAGCGGCAAACAAAAACTACCAAAAAAGCAACAAGCACGACAACAACAACGACGACGACACCACCACCACAACGATCACAGCCACCACCATCACCACTATCGCCACCACTACCAGCACATCATCATCATCACCACCATCACCATCATCGCCACCGTCATCCTCATCATCATCATCATCATCATCAACGTCGTCATCATCATCATCAACAACAACATCATCATCAACACGAGCAGCAGCAGCAGCAGCAGCAGCAGCAGCACCACCACCATCACCACCACCATGCCCATCCCCACTCCCTAACCAATCTTCATCTTCAACAAAAAACTCATCCGGCTCACCATCTCCATCGCCATTCGCACCATCTTTTCATGAACCTCATCGCGTCTCTCATCTTCAACGTGGTCATCTTCATTATCATCAATAGCAATAGACTCTTCTTCATTATCGCCGTTAGCGCCGCCACGATAATACCTATACCCGGCATCTGCCTTGCCAGTGCTCTTGGTGCTTTTGCGCGACAGGAGCGAGACTTTCTGCTTGACCTCTTCAGGGCAGGACTCTCAAGAGGCAGGCTTGTGTGTTGCCGGAAAACCCCTAAACCCTAAACCCTAAACCCCTAAACCCCTAAAACCCTAAACCCTAAACCCCTGAACCCTAAAACCTAAACCCTAAAACCTAACAGATTCTTGAAGATTGCTGGGTTTTGGCTCTGGCCGCCGGCGCCTGCTTACCGTTCTCCCGGCCGAGGATGGTGCGCACGGACTCCCGCAATCTCTGCTGGCGGGTGTAGCCTTTTGCAGGCTGGACCTGTTTAGGGTTTAGGGTTTAGTAGCCTTTTGCAGGCTGGACCTGCCAAAAAGGCAGAAAATCAAAGCTGCCAAGAGCGGCCCGAAGGAGTTCAAGCTGCAGCGGTACTGCAGGATTGTTTCTTACTGGCTTCATAACCTCAAGGGACGTTTTGGGAAGGAAGGGACCCCCCCTTGTCATATCATGTCTCTTGGCCCGAAGCCTCTTGCAGCAGATTCTGCACCAGGTCAGTGTACTCCCGGCCCTCGCCGCGCAGGAGACGGTCCAGCAGATATTCGGCTCGACGTCCTTCTGCATCTGCTTCCGCAGCCACGGAGAGCACCGTATGTCCATCTTTTGCGGCCTCTGGGTCTGCTCGTTCCATCAGTAGGAGATGGATCATATCCAGGACATAGCTGTCCTGTGCCTTAGAGCTGGCAGCTGCCAGCAGGCATGTGATGGGCTCATGGCCCTCCCATTCTAGGCACACATTTGGATCGGCCTGCTTTTGCAGAAGCGTGCTGGCCATATCCAAGTATTTAATGGCTTCACTGGTTTCTTTGGCTGCCTCCTCCTTCGCTTGCAGATCCCGGCTTGGTAGCCCGTCAAACTTCGCAAAGCTGGCAGCCGCATGCAAGGCCGTCACGACTCTCTTCTTGCCCGGACCGGTCTTGGGATCTGGAGTCGCCTGACATTCCAGGAGTTGTTCGACGAGGAAAAAATGGCCCTTTGCAGCAGCCACCACGAGGGGCGTCCATCCAAACCTGTCTGGCGCATTGGCCGAAGCCCTCTTCTCCAGCAAGAGCTGCACGACTCCGAACTCATCCCTTCGGGCTGCGAGAACCAAAGCCTCGGCACTTGGAGCCATGGACCCCAAGAGAGTCGCAACCTCCTCCTCCTTTCCAGCGGCCACGGCCACGAGGAGTTTCTCCTTGGGGTCGGGCCGGGGGTCCTCCAGGACATCCTTCCACCGGCCAGACTTCTCCTCACAGCGCGCAAGAAGCCCTATATGCCCTGTACCCTAAACCCTAAGCCCTAAAAGCTCTCTCTGCGTGCGGGTTTTTGAAACCTTTGAAAGCCCGTAGAACCCCTACGACTCCGAAACCCTGGAGCCCAAACCCCAACTTCGGCCGCGCATTGCGCGACCAGGCTTTCTTCCACCGCTTTCTTCGGGCTGAATGGCTAAAGAACCGAGAAAAACCAGAGCCAGGATGGCTGAGGGTGTGGGGGGACCTCTACCATACCGCGGTGGAACCAAAAGAATTTGGTTTCTGTTCAAACATCTCTGGAATCTGGAAGCACCAGTCATCGCACTGAACTGCACAAAGCAAGAGGTCCGTAAGGCATGAATCCCTCGCATCCTTACAAAGTCTCAAGCCAAATCGAGCTTGCATAACGATCCACAACCGTTAGCACCCGCGAGCACTCAAGTGATGCACAGACACAACAAGCCCCGATGCCCGGCTCATCGGTCCCCAAGCACTAACGCCGTCGTCCAAAAACCCATGGCAAGGACGATGACAACCACGGTATTGCTGATGATATCTGTTATGAAGATCGCGGCGACGACGATGATGCTGGTGATGTAGAGCGTGATGGATGAAGGAGGCAGGATGCAGGATGAAGGATGATGGATTTGGTGATGACAGATGATGGATGACGGACTACGGATGATGAGATGGTGAGGGTGATGGATGATGCCGAGAATGAGGGTGAAGGTGCGCGTTTGGTGGTGCTGGTGGTGGGAATGGTGATGATGAGGATGATGAGGATGATGATGATGATGATGATGGTAATGGTGCCGGTTATTATGGAGGTGGCGGCGACGGTGGTGATGATGACGATGATATCGGGAAGCCCGATGACACTCGATGCCATCGGCATCATTGTCGCCATCACAGTCCTGGTCCTAGTGGTAGTCATCAACTTGTGAATACTTCTCGTGTGAATCTGGGCTTCAACAGTTGTCCTTATCCCTCTCGCCATGATCAACATCGTGTTGAATCTTACATTTCTTCACCGTTGCCGCCCTTGGCATCATCGTCGTCATCATCCTCAACCACCCGTCTGAAAGCTGCTCCGATACAAGAGAATGTGAAGGTTTCCAAGTTCTGGCTCAAGGAATGAGGTGTAGGATTTGGGACGTCAGGTTCAGGGATTCTTCTGCAGCTCAGGTGCTTTGTGGTCCGTCATCGCTGGTCACCGAAGCAGCACATTGGAGGCATTGCTGCGATTGGGCAGTAGCTTCCCAGAGACTTCAAAAGCCCTTAATTAATTAAGGAATATACCTTAAATTATAATAAGAACCCAAATAAGATTTAAGGGATATTCCTTAATGAAGGGGTTTTGGAGTCTCTAGCTTAGGAGGAATCCTGGGTTCGGAACATGAACGGCCGCCGGACAAACCAAGCTTCTGCGACCTGAACCCCCCATAAACCCCCAAAACCCATAACCCAGAGAGCCCAGCACCCCCTAAATAAGGAATATATACCTTAAATTATAGGGGCCTTAATATTCTGATTTAAGGTATATTCCTTAATTGAGGGGTATTGGGCTCTCTGGGTACCCTGAACCCTACACCGCCCATACCCAACCCAGGTGTGTCAAGCACGGAGGGCTTCTCTGCCGCGTCTTGCTTGGAAAGAGGGCGCTGCCTGGGCTCACCGCGGAGGCCATGCAAGCTTCGCAGCTAGGGTTTAGGGTTTAGGGTTTAGGGCTTTTGTTTTTTGAACTCCTAGGGGGTTTAAGGTTTAGGGCTTCGGGTTTAGGGTAAGTGCTGCTGCCTTCGGCTGTGTCATGCACCTCGAGTGGCTCGCTTTCACCGGAGAGGTTGAGCTACCTCTCTCTCTTTGAATCCCCACAGGGGCAGGGCCTGTGACATCGCCATTTGCAAAACTATACAAACTGCCTGAGCACCCCCCCCCTTTAAGGTCCGTTATTGGGTCCTTTAATGGAATAGAATAGACTGGAACTCAATATCATATGGGCAGGACGAAGGTTTGTTGCCCTGAAGTAGGGCCCTGTTTGATCTGAACGTGTGTGCTTGGCTGCGGATAAGAAAAAAACACAGCCCCGCAAGAAAGATGCCCACCACTCCATCACTATGGCATATGATGCCCAAGGCTTCTTCAAGTACATTCTTGTGATGCCAAGAATGGCAAAAAAAGCCACCACTGCCAGTGCGCAAACCAGAATCCACACATGTCAAGAAGCGACACACTTGCACCAGACTGCACGCTGCATTGCACATGACCTCAAACCCTAAACCCTCAACCCCAACGGTCCCTGCGCGTGTTCCCCTGATGCGCATGAGTGTGGTTCAGTCTTCGAAGAGCCAAACCCTCAACCCTGAACAAGACCCTGCGCTGCTGTTTTTTTCGCGGCCGCCTTGGCTGGATCGGTGAGATGTCTCAAATGTTCTGAAGCGAGAGATGCACGGCTCCGCACACGTTCTGAGCCCTCTGCCCTGCAACTAAAACACCGATTGGAGCAAGAGCTCCACAGGTTCATCTCAACAAATTGGGAGGATGGTTTAGGGTTTGGAGTTTAGAGGGCCCGGCAACCCAGATACTGATGCTAACTGGTCGGCAGAAAACCGGGAGATCCGGATATTGGTGCTGACTAGTCGGCAGAAGATCTACTAAACTGTGTGCTGCGAAATGGAACGACAGGCTGTTGCTGTAGAATGCTGTACAAGAGACTGCGCCAGAAGGCGTCCGTTCCCAAGAGAGCCAATTAGGTGAAAAGCTTTGTGAGGTATCTTATGCCACGAACACTTCTGGTCCGGAGCAGGCACGAGAAACGCAGCATGCACACAAAACTGATGGCCACTTTTCTGGCCTCCGATCTTGGGCTGTTTTCGAATTCTGCCAGGAAATCCAACATATCCCCATGTTTGGGGACTACACATGAGCGCCTGCCTGTTGACGTGCAGAGTTATTGCTTTGCTGGGCTTTGGGTGTCCACGGCTTTCTCAACATGGAGCCTGCAGCTACCAAGAAGGACACAAGAGCCAAAATCAGTGGCAAGTGCCACCAAATGCATTCCGCCTGATACATCATCATGGGGAATCCACAGGCTTCGCAAGCCTTAGCATTTGTGACTGCAGAAGTCTCCCACGCCCCAATGGGCTGGTTGAAAGCCTTAGCATGACAGAACATGACGGCCATGTTTGTCACTGCAGACGTGTTCCAAGCCCCAATGGGCTGGTTGAATGCAGAAGCTCCATTGAACATGTGGGCCATGTCTGTCACTGCAGACGTATCCCATGCCCCAATGGGCTGGTTGAAAGCCTGAGCTCCCCAGAACATGTCGGCCATGTTTGTCACTGCAGACGTATCCCATGCCCCAATGGGCTGGTTGAAAGCCTTCGTCCAAGCGAACATGGAGCCCATGTTTGTCACTGCAGACGTATCCCATGCCCCAATGGGCTGGTTGAAAGCATTAGCTCCCCTGAACATGGATTCCATGCTTGTCACTGCAGACGTATCCCATGCCCCAATGGGCTGGTTGAAAGCATCAGCTCCATTGAACATGTGGGCCATGTCTGTCACTGCAGACGTGTTCCAAGCCCCAATGGGCTGGTTGAATGCAGAAGCTCCATCGAACATGCGGCGCCTGTCTGTCACTGCAGACGTATCCCATGCCCCAATGGGCTGGTTGAAAGCCTGAGCTCCATCGAACATGTGGGCCATGTTTGTCACTGCAGACGTATCCCATGCC